GCTCATTTCGTATCCTATCTCTAAGGGTAAAGCCACTCATCCACCTGAGCATCCTCATCTCTGTCACACTTAACTTAGTATTATGCTTTTCTTTTAATGGCCTATATTCGGCACCATAAAGCATTGTAGGCCTCATTACCATCTTATAGAATTTTCCCTTAAGTTTGAGGGGTACATTTCTATCACATAACAAGCCTAATGCATTCCTCCACTTTAAAAACTTTGGTGTCTCTTCTGAACGCTACACCCTCTCACTTATCTGATTGTGTGCTGGATCTTCGTACAACGCTAAGACGTTAAACTATATATTTCTCTACCGCCGCGAATATTCCAGGACGCAACAATGATATATTTTATATGAAAATATTTTGATATTAGATTATTTCACATGAAAATTAAATTATAACTTAAAGTATTTAGAAGTTCAGCTATGAAAAGTAAAAGAAATTTATCAAATGATGTAAATTTTTAATATTTTTAGATTCAAAATTTATCATAATTTTGTATGTACTTATTTTTTTATCTGCTGAAAAGAAAAAGCGGCCCAAGTAAAAACAACTAAAAACATGTATGCTAAATGAGCAATTTTTAGGGGTGTCATTAAATAACATGACTTATATCTTACCTGAAAAATCTGTTTCCCAATTGAGCAGTTTAATAAATGGGTCGGATTCGGGTCGTATATTTCAACCCGTTTATTAAACAAGTCGGATTTGAGTTGATCCGCCAATCTGATTTTGACCATAAAAGGCCCGTTTAATATTTATTCCTTAAATTCTTTTATTTGTTGATATAATCTTCTCATTTCTTACCACTTAACTTAAAATATATAGTTAACAAGTTAATAGAAATATTTTTTTAAACTAAAATGGTTTATTGCACTACTAAAAATCAGGCTTCCGCAGCATTTTTTAGGACATACAGCAGCGGTTTAAACATATACTAATTTATTTGCATCGGTTTAATAACCGATGCAAATTCACTGTATTTGTGTTCACTGGAAAGGCTTTAGCAGTGGTTTTATGAGTGCTGCTGTAGGAAGGCTTTAGCATTTGGGTCGGATTCGTATTTCAAGCGGATTCGGATTTTTAGTGGGTCGCGTTCGGGTCAATCTTTTTTTACCTGTTTATTAAACGAGTCTGCTTCTGATTGATCAATTTGGGTTGGGTTAATTTCGAATTGGATCTAAACCCTATCCATTGACTCGTTTTAACACCCATAGTAATTTTTATATCTATTTAATTCGAGGTTGTGAAAACCGGACCAAACAACGAATCAGAAGAAGGAGATGTTCATGATTCAACCAATTAAATTGGGGTCGAATAAGATAATATAATAAATATGAATGTTGTTGCGTCCAGGAGTATTCGCGGCGGTAGAGAAATATAAAGTTTATCGTCTTAGTGTTGTACGAAAATCCGGCACACAATCAGATAAGAGAGAGGGTCTAGTATTTATGAGACACCAAGATTTTTACGTGAAAAACCCCTGAAAAGGGGGAAAAACCACGGGGCCTAGCCCAGTTTGAATGAATCCACTAGTATTGCAGTCGATTACAAATGAGGCCCTTCCTTGGTGGAAGGTCTTAGCTTGATGTACATTTTATATAGTACATTACATGATATGAATACAAAGAATCACTATTGACATGTTCGTTTGGTCGGGAGGACCGTAGTCAGCGGGCGACGGAGGTCGGAAGGACTGTAGTCCGTGGGCGACGTAAGTCAGGAGGACCGTAGTCGGCGGGCGACAGAGGTCAGAAAGATTGTAGTTGGCGGGCGACAGAGGTCAGAAAGATTGTAGTCGGCGGGCGACATATGTCAGGAGGACTGTAGTCGGCGGGCGACGGAAGTCGGAAGGACAGTTGCCTTGCGAGGGAGGTTGGAAGGATTGTGTCTGACGATGAAGGTCAGAAGAACGGCGTCAGGTAGAAGTCCAACAATGGAAAGAAATTCATATTCGGATATACGTCCAACGAAAGTCCGATAACCGGTAGAAGTCCGACATCGGGTAGAAACTTGGCCAAGAGTGAAGGTCAGGTGTCGGGTAGAAGTTCGACGTCTGTTGGTGGACGAGGAGAACTCCGGCAACACTTGGGCGGAGTTTCGGCGTCAGGAGGGAACTCTGTCGTTAATTGAGAAGAATTTTCGCATCCCATGGAAGTTGGGCAGAATTCTGGTGTTCTCCCGAATATCCGGCAGAGTTCCGGCATATTCAGGTGGCGAGAAGCGCTCCGGCGGTGGTCGAGGAGGAGAGGATTCTCCTTTTTCTTTTTCTCCTATTCTTCTCTTATTCTTCTCTCTCTTCTCTTTCCTCCCTCTTGTGAAAAATGAGGGCTCTATTTATAGTTTTTCTGGAGTGGCATTGCTTGTAAATAGGTGTGAGATTATGGGCAAACAGGGAGTGGTTGAATGGATGGCTGATATTGAATCCTTTGATCATAAACCGTTCGTCAGCCATTTGAAGGCCTTAGTGATGTCAGAATCCGGCAATCTTGGGCTCGTTGGATTTGTCTCGTCGAGCCGTTCGATTCGACTATAAGCTCGCCAAAATCGAAGACCGTTTGGTAACTCAAATTATGGTTCGAACCTTCCAACAACGCTTTAGGTCCTTGATTTGGACTCATTTGGGCTCGGATTGAGTCAAATTTGGTGTCGTTGGGTTCATATTTACGAGACGCTCAGTTTGCTGAAATCGGAGTTCAGGTGCTCCCGGATTTTAATTTTTGCAGTTTCCAACTTGATTTTTGCTTCGAGATTCGTGCCCGATCAAGATAATTTTTGCATGACGTATCAAATGTATTAAGAATAAATAAAATTAGCATAATAATATGATAATTTAACCTTGATTTTAGCAAATATTAGAATTAATTTCAGTTCATTTGATTAATTTTAGCAAAACACAAATGCAATTTTAGCACATAGAAAAATCAAATTCAGCAAACTTGAAAATTAATTTTAGAAAAAGAAAAATGCAATTTCAGCACGTAGAAATCCCAAATTCATTAAATATGAATATCAATTCCAGCAATTAAGAAATCTGATTTCAAAAAACTAAAATCTGATTTCTGTAAATAAAAAAATCCATGATTGCAATTTTTAGAAATATACAATATTTTCTGAAATATTCTCTAAGCAAGCACGACATATAGATATAAGAAATTTCAAAAGCAAATTATCTTACACAAATAAACTTAAATACACGATTTAAAATCTCTAAATTTAAATTATACACCTTGTGGCTCCAGATTCCCGCACGAGGTGGTCCAACCATCCCGCGGCTCTCGGTTCTTGCACGGGATTGCCAAATAAGCTTATTTATTTTTACCACATTGCATTGGGGGAGGAATGCATATCTTAGTTCGTTGTGTAGGAGCAATTCATATGTTGAGTCAGTTCTCTCTCTCCTCAAACTTCGAAGTTCCTCAGATCTCAAGGATAATGCCAAGTCAGTTCACCTTCGAATTTCTATTGCTTCTTATCACCAAAATAGATAGAGATAATTAAATCTTAAGTTAACATTGTCGTCCACCTTTGTACCAGAGTCAGAAGAAGAGACGAGAAGCAAGAGTGATGCTGGAGGATTGTCGTCGTTGAGTGAGCTTATCATCCAGATCGTGAATCAACAGCGAATAGTTAGAGCGAACAGGAGACGAAAGGGGGAGACCCGAGCCAAAGACAAAGCCAAAATGAATTACGGGAGGGAGAACGAACCAAATTTCATTAGGTTATTTTACTCACAAAACTCGTTCACCGATGGATTTAAAATCAACTACTCAAAACTCGTTGTTTTTAAATCGTACATTTTTAAGAACCAGTGTCAGTTCTATGGTTTATGGTTCGACCGACCATTTGGGCGGGTTTTCTCCTGTTTTGTGAAAAACAAGTTTTGTAAGAGAAACGAATCTGCTGACCAATCGAGCCTTGGATCATATTATCGAACCGGCTAATTCGGTCGGATTTTTAAAACCTTTATTAAATTTATTAATTGAAACTCATAAATATATTTCAATGATTTTGATTTTTCCATACTTCTCTTGTAAATCTCTTGCTTGGTCACTTCCATATGAAGAAAGCGTCTATTTATAAATTTTTTTGAAATGACATGATGAGTAAATAGGAATAAGATTCAGGGCAATTTGTGAGTGTTTCCAATGGACGGCCGATACCAACTCCCTTGATCATAGATTATTTTTTGAATATTTGAGTGTCTTAGTGATGTCAGAATTTGACAATAATGTTGGGCTCGTTGGATTCGTCTCATTGAGCGCTCAATTTGATAGTCATTTGGCCTGTTGGCCATATAATTTATGATTTGAATTTTCCAAATACGATCAGGGTCCTTGATTTAGACTCATTTTGGTTCGAATTGAGTCGAATTTAGTGTTGTTGGGTTCATCTTTTCGAGATGTTCAATTCGACTATAAGTTTGTTGTAAAAATTATATATAGATAACATATAAATTGTACAGAGATTAATACGATCTATTTCTATTAGAGTCTAAACACGAACTACATCCAAACTCTAAGTAATAATTTTTCGGTCAGAGGGGCCACCATGCAAAATATAAATTTCATACAGGTCCACATTAAAGTAGTGGTTTTTTTTTATAAAAGTTAAAAAATCACTACCAAACATAAACAGCTTCTCACACCGCACCAATAGCTGTCGGTGCTGCAGGTTCCGCTCACTTTGCCAGTTAGCCAAGCTGTCACTTGTCACTTGACTCCTTTCACTGCCCTCCACTTTACTAAACCTAATTATTAAGCGAGTAATAAGCTGTGCTGTCCAAATCAAAACAAAATATTATATTTACGTAAGGTTTAATATGCAATTATAAAATATATTAAACTCTTTGCGGTTGAATTTTTATAATATTTCTAAACCAATAATTGATTAAAGTAATACATTTTAATGAACTAAATAGAAATTTATTGCATAGCGTGACCCTTTTGACAATTTGGTACGGTTCCAGCCTGGCTTTTCTTCGCGGAAAAAAAAAAAAAAAATTGCAGAGCCAATACTTAAGAATTTCTGATCCGAACATGGTCGTTGGCTCGGCTCACTGATCTAAGAGCTGTTAGTCCATCTTCGTCAGATCGCCTGAAAAGAAAATAGCATCAGTTGCTTCACACAGCAGCAAAAAGGCTTTCTTTAATTAGCTTGGATGCTCAGCAATCACCCTTCTTCTTACTCTTTACTCAAGATCTCTCCTTTCTGATCTAAAGAAGAGTAAGCCGCAGGGAGAAGCATTTCGGGATCAAGATCAGTATGTTCGGGAGAGATCCATGGGGAGGGCCACTAGAGATCTCGCACGCCGACTCAGCGACGGATGATGATCGGAGCCGGAATCTTGACCTCGACCGTGCGGCGCTGTCGACTTCCTCGCGGCCGCTGGACGAGACGCAGCAGAGCTGGCTCCTCGCAGGTCCGGGCGACCAGGGATCGAAGAAGAAGAAGTACGTCGACCTCGGCTGCCTCATTGTCAGCCGCAAGATATTCATTTGGACTCTCGGCGTCGTCTTCGGCGTCGCCGCCCTCGTTGGGCTCATAATCCTCATCGTCAAGACCGTTCCTCGCCATCATCATCCTCGCCCTCCGCCGGACAACTACACCCTCGCCCTTCATAAAGCCCTAATGTTCTTCAATGCCCAGCGATGTGAGTTTCTTTTTCTTATTAAAGTTTCTATCTTTGCTAGATCTTGTTTCTCAAAATCACATTTTGATGCAGCCGGGCCGCTCCCAAAGCATAACAATGTTTCGTGGAGGGGTAACTCCGGGATGAAGGACGGATTCTCCGATGATGCTGTTAAACGCAGCCTTGTCGGCGGGTACTACGACGCTGGTGACGCCATCAAGTTCAACTTCCCGTCATCCTTCGCTATGACCATGCTCAGCTGGAGCGTCATCGAATACAGCGCTAAGTACGAGGCCGTCGGCGAGCTCGCTCATGTCCGCGAAATCATCAAATGGGGCGCCGATTACATTCTCAGGACCTTCAATTCCTCTGCCGACACCATCGATCGCATTGCAGCTCAGGTAAACCCTAAAAAAGATTAAATCTTGTAACTCCTTTCGTTGAATCAGAGAAATCCAGTTCTTTTCTGACAGATCTGGTTCAGGTTGGAGTTGGGGATACATCCAGAGGCCCGATGCCGAACGATCACTATTGTTGGATGAGGCCTGAAGACATAGACTACCCGAGGCCTGTGCTTGAGTGCCATGGCTGCTCGGATCTCGCCGCTGAGATGGCAGCGGCTCTTGCAGCGGCGTCGGTAGTGTTTAAGGACAACAAGATCTATTCACAAAAGCTTGTGCATGGTGCGGCGACGCTGTGGAAGTTTGCGAGGATGCAGAGAGCAAGATACAGCGCTGGAGGCTCAGATCCTGCCAAATTTTACAATTCCACTAGTTATTGGGATGAGTTTGTGTGGGGTGGCTCATGGATGTATTTGGCAACGGGTAACTCTTCTTATCTTCAGCTGGTGACAAATCCGAAAATGGCGAAGCATGCCGGAGCATTCTGGGGTGGACCTGATTATGGAGTTCTTAGCTGGGATAATAAGCTTCCAGGAGCTCAGGTATGCTGTTTATTTTCTGTTTACTTCGTCCCCCTAGGAGAACACACATTAATTTATTGCTTATTTGATCAATGCGAATATGTTTAATTGTGCAATGTATCATTTTTGGATCTAACTGCTTGATTGTGTTCGAAAATAGAAATTACCAAATGGTTGAAGATTTAGGGGCTGTTTGGTAGCAGGATTTAGACCGGATTTGAGGCGGATTTGAGTGAAATCCACCCAAACGGCCTAAAATGCAAAACCAAATCTCACGGAAAAAATGAAAGTCGCCATAGACCGAAAATTCCGTCTTTTTGTGCTAAATCCCGGATTTCTGAAATCCTGTTTTTGCCAGATTTTCGAAATCCATTGGCTCTAGAGGAAGAGTCCGCTCATTAAATATGCTCTATAACCAGTTACACAAGATTTAATAGGTTTTATCATGAATGTTACATGCAATATGTATGATTCCATATTCTTATGCTTAGAATCTGAAATGCAGAGGAAGACTCTTGTGGATTATTGGCTTCGAAAGAATAGTAGATTGGGCATTTTCTTATTAAAAATGTTGATTATCCCTCAAATTTAAGAGACTAAATTTTGATATTCTTTTTTGGGTGGTCTCTATTGCTGACATCATTAGTTCATGAGTTTTGCATGTTTGCTTTGACCTGCTACCTCACCTGTCACAACTTTCCAGTTTAAATATTAATTGGTGGTATTCAGAGTTGTTACATTATCAAATCAGTTCATTGACTGACAAAGAATGAAGTTCAGGCATTATTACTTTTCAACTCCATTTCTGAGTTACATGCACGTATTGTTTTCTTAACAGGCAGATAAATTTTGTGGGTATTTTGATGATTTCTGACCAATTCGTAACTTCTAAAGATTGTTTTTAAGTCTAGGTGTGCGATTATCAATTTGATAATACAATTGATGATTTTTGACCAATTGATTGGAGCCAAAATCAAATTCTGAATTAAAATTAAAGTGTAAGGTTGTATCTGAATTTTGGATTGAAGGCTGGATATGTGATCTTGTACAACAACATCGAGCCTTTGTCCCACCACGTGTGGTCGGCTACATGAATTGTTTTTCTCCATTGTGTCATGTTAAAAGTTGTATTCTCATTTAAATATAATAAAGAAAGATCATTTCTAATATTTTCTAACCAAGTCTTTTTAGGTCTACCTCTATCTTTCTTAACATAATTCAAATCTAATAACTCTACTTTCCTAACCTGGTCATCAGATGGTGACTCTCTCTAATCTTATCTTCCACTAGAGCTACTCAAACCTTTTCACATATATGCTCGTTTTGTATCCTATCTCTAAGGGTAAAGGCACTTATCCACATGAGCATCCTCATCTCTACAACCCTTAACTTAGTATTATGCTTCTCTTTTAATAGCCAACATTCGGCACCATAAAGCATTGCAGGTCTCACCACCATCTTATAAAAATTTTCCTCAAGTTGGATTCCATATCCTCTGATATATCCAAAATTCTTAAGGACTTTCTATCCTTTCTGATTGAGTGTTTGTATTTTTCTAAAGATGTTCTAATTCTTAGTTGGGGAACTCTCAACATGTAGCTTTAGTATGGTGATCTTCCATGATTATGAAGACTTTGCTTGCATCAATTTGGTCATGCTAATCTACCTCTAATTCTATAGCCCTGATGCATTTTTTTTATATCTTTCTGCATGCAGGTGCTTCTTAGCAGATTGAGGCTATTTCTGAGTCCAGGGTATCCATATGAAGAGATATTGAGAACCTTCCATAATCAGACTAACATTGTCATGTGCTCTTTTCTACCAGTTTTTAAATCTTTTAACCGAACCAAAGGTTTGAATGACGCATTTTTTAATCACTGAACTTTCTGCCTTCTTTAATGAATGTCAAGAAAAGCTTTCTTTCAATTCAATTGCAGGCGGTTTAATACAATTGAACCATGGAAGACCCCAGCCACTTCAGTATGTGGTTAATGCAGCTTTTCTCGCAGCGGTCTACAGTGATTATCTTGAAGCTGCTGACACCCCAGGATGGTATTGTGGCCCCAATTTCTTCCCCACCTCAGTTCTTCGCAACTTTGCGAAAACCCAGGTGTGTATTCTCATCATCTCAGACTGAGGAAAAAAATTATTAGGCTTAGGTTAGCTACATAAATAGCTTTATGGGCGGAAGGCGGGAGTGCCCCATTATGTACTCGTGTAGTTCAATAAGATAAAGTAGAAAACAAGAGCACAATAATACAACTTTGAAATCAATTAGGCAAAGTGGATATCCATTATTCTAAATGTAAAATTGCATATGAAGTACATTTGTATGTACAATATGCATGGAAAATTATCATTTTGCTTATGCACATTCTATATGATTTCAGCTTCATTTGGGATGGCTTTCTTATTGCTTCTTAAAGCAATTTTCTAGTAGAAATTTTTTTTTTTTTTTTAAGAAGCTGTAAGAAAGCTGTCCCAAACGAAGCCTTCATGGACGAATGAATGAGCTTTATAGAAAGTTGTATATTTATATGATTATGTCATATACTATACCAAATGGAGTATAAGTTTCTTGCATTCAACAGGCTTCAGTCATTTATAACGTGTCTTATAATGTTATTGTTTAATCTTTTGGTAGATTGATTATATACTTGGTAAGAATCCTGAGAAGATGAGCTATGTTGTCGGCTTCGGCAATCACTACCCCAAACATGTTCATCACCGAGGTGCATCAATCCCAAAGAATGGTGTTAAGTATGGATGCAAAGGAGGATGGAAGTGGCGCGATTCGAAAAAGCCAAACCCAAACACGATTGTGGGAGCTATGGTTGCTGGTCCAGACCGGCACGATGGATTTCATGATGTGCGCACGAACTACAATTACACGGAGCCAACGCTTGCCGGAAATGCCGGCTTGGTTGCTGCTCTGGTAGCCTTATCCGGTGAGGGCAACGGCGTCGACAAAAACACTATATTCTCGGCTGTGCCTCCAATGTTTCCATCCCCTCCTCCACCTCCAGCTCCATGGAAACCTTGAGAGAAGGAAAAATAGCCTGTAATTCTTTTTTGTCCCTTTATATCCTCTCTGAGCTATAGAAATTCATTTCATGGCTTTGACATTGCTGGGGATCTAACAAGTTATATGGGTTCCAGAGAAATACTTTTGCTGGGAATTACAGTTTGAAGATCTAAGCTGCAGACATTTTGTCTCATTGCTGTTCTATGAATGTTTTGTATAGGATGTAATACTAAGATTTCAAGAATAATCAAAACATTTTATTGAAGCATGTATGGTGTAGAAGTTCAATCATGAATGAATTAATACTTATTGACATCTTTGTGCAGTGTTGATGCATGTTTTTTGAATCATTTTTTTTTCCCCGTAAAGGCTGCTAAATATCAACATTTTCAATTACATAATGCCACCCCTGAATTTACATGCAGAAGTTGCATTCCAAGTCTACACTAAGGTTTGCGTCATTTCCCTTAAGCTAAATGCTTATCATTTGGATCTTATACCCTGAATTTTCATGTAGAAACATTCTTTAAATTATATGTTGTAATTCATTCTAAAGCTAAAGTTGGAATGACTATTGCTACAAAAATGTGTCCGGCAGAAATGACTTGAAGCAAACGTGAAAAGAATTGTAGGGTTGTCTTTGTATTTAGTAGGGGTGTCAATTTCGGGTCACGGGTCGGATTCGGGTCGAACCCGAAACTGACCCGTCACTATTGGGGTCAACCCGAACTCGACCCGTTTTTAAAAACGGGTTAGTTTTCCTGACCCGAACCCGACCCACTCTGAGTTCGGGTCAACCCGACACGACCCGAATGACTCGTTTCCAACAAAAAATGGTTAATTTTCGGGTCAAAAACGGGTCAATCTCCTCTTTTCGGGTAAAAAACGGGTCAATCTCGGGTTGCCAAGTCGAAATCGGGTTTTCGGGTCAAAATCGGGTCACTTTTGGGTCAAAAGGTTAACCCGAACCCGACCCGATTTTTTAAACGGGTCGAAATGCTGAACCCGAACCCGACCCGTTTCGGGTTCGGGTTGACCCTAACCCGAAATTTTCGGGTCGGGTTTTCGGGTCGTGTCAAATATTGATACCCTTAGTATTTGGTAGATGTGTCATAGCTCAACTCGATATGATCTACAGATAAATAGGTCATATCATGTCTGATCATGACATGATAGAAATTTCAAGACCTAATTAGAGAGAATTACATAAATTTCAATAAATTTACATATTATAGAGTCACTAAAACTTTAATTAAATATACAAATTTTTTTCATCAAAAAATTTTCATTAATCTCCCAAGTATTTAAAAATAATAAATAATAGCAATGAAGTAGAAATGGCAAAGTATATTTATTTGTAGTGAAGTAAAAATAGACTACATGGAATAAATAAGTATTTACATAGTAGCAAATGATAGTTTACCACATTACTTATACATAATAAAACAAAACAATACCACAATTGTAAAATAGCAGAATATTGAATACACAATCTTCATTTCTCAAAATAGAAAGAATTTCTCTTATGTCTTTATACATCCTAACATATATACAAATTTAGAGTTCATACTCTTATGACTCCTTATGCTATCATGTACGATAACAAACCCTTATAACTCATAACGCATAGCACCACAAATTTTCAAAGATTTCAGAACCTTGTAACTCACAATAGATAGCAGATCAAAATATATGCCAACCATCATAATTCTTTTAGATTCACACATTTCAATAATATAAATATAGCGATAAATACATTTTCAAGTATAGTACATAATGTCAGAATTATCATAGGATTTTAAAGAATATCCTACTAACAACCAAACAAATAGAAATTTGGTGGGAAAGCCATATACAAATTTGATATTTTTAGAAATCTACCAAATGATCATGTCTTTTCATAGCTGCATTTTGAAACTTTTGTTGAACTACGAAATGATTTATACGTGACAGAATCTTTTTCCAAGTCATAAAAACTACATATTTTTAAAACCATATTGCAAAAATTTGCAAATAAAATATGAGAATGTGCATAATATTACCAACTACAACAAATCAAAAGTTACGCAATAAAATTTCACCAAATGATTGGATATACCTAATTATGCGTCAAAATTTTCATCAAAGAGTTGGAAAATCCTGTTAAAACTAACATGGGTAAAATGTAGTCTACCTCAACCCAATTTTTTTTTTTTAAACTTCCACAATGGACAAAATGGACCCAAAGTTGCCTGAAATAGACTTTTTCTCTTTAGAATTCTCTCTTTATATCTCTAGCCAACAATTCTTAGGGACAAATGATTTGGGAAATGGCATTTTGAGTAGAAAATGAAAATATATAGGACAAGCCTATTTTTTTAGTTTGTTTGTTAAGGGAAGAACATAGGAGATTTGATTTTTTTTGTTGTTTTATGTCTTCTTGATGGAGAGAAGGATCATTAGGTGTGAAATAGAAGAAAAATAAGGGACCAGAAGTGGGGATACAAGCAAATAAAATTTAAGTGGTTTAGTATTTTGGCCCACAACCACTAAAGTGGAAGAGAAGAAGCTTGCATTATTTTTCAAGGATGAAAAGTTATATTATCCAGGTTGCCTAGTACTCTTTCTCTAAACAATAAGAAAGTCTAATAGGTTAGTTATCCAATATTAAGTATAAAGATCCTTTAGAAAGTTATTGATATCAATACATGAAATTCATTCATTACCGACGGATTTTTTTCAAAGAAAATGGTGATTTTCCAACCACAATTAGGTTTTCCAACAAATTTTTTCCACTGGTAATAAATCGTGTAAGAAACTGAAACCAATGACTTATTACTGGCGGTCATTACGCCTGCATAACCGCCAAAAAATTTGGAGGTCCTTTGGCCATCGAAAATGTCTCCGATATTTGATGAATTTCCTATAGTGTAGTATGCATAGGGAGAATCTAACTTGAGGAAATGTTGAGGTACATAATACTATGTAGAGATGTCTTATAATAATAAATGAGGTGGTTTACATAATTGTCTTAAAAAAACTTAATATAAGGTTGCATGCATTAGATAATCAAATTACTCGAGGCTGTTTTGTCCACGAACATAGATAATGATATGCAATAGAAAGACATAATACAATACAAAACATTCTTTGAAGTTTTTAATTTTATTTTTGTAGGGCCCACATAACATACTATGAGTGACATGATCATATAATATTGGTTGTGATATATTAGGATAAGAAAGGTGTGTACTTCTGAAATTTGAGAAACATGTTTAGTTGGGATAAATAACCACTCCAAAAGTATATGCTAGGACAAAAGTGCCCTCTGGGTTCATAGAAGCCTACTCCCTTAATTAAGAGTAAAAATGAAAAAGATACATAATAAAATCAAATACAAATAGATGCTCAAAAATAAAGTGGCCTAATCGTAGCCGTCGATCTCCTGGTCCTCAGATAGACTTTCCACGGTTGGATGTCCTCATCATTCTCCCGGGATCTACATTGAGTTTAAATTATTTTTTCTGTGCTTTAAAAACCAAGGATTATATGCGAGTTTCTACATGCACTACGGGGAAGAAAATTTGGGATAGGTTATGAATCACTTACGAAAGAACTAGTAAAGTAAAACAGTCTAGGATAAACATCCTGCTTCATGACTATGAACTGTTTCGCATAAAACCTAGTGAATCAATTTTTAAAATATATGTTAGGTTTACTTAAATAGTGACATTCCTACATGCATTGGGTAGAGAACTAAATTCTAAAAATGTTAATAAGATTCTATATTGTTTACCTAATTCTTATAATGTTAAGATAACTACAAATATTGAATCAAAAGACTTGAATGTTTACTCCATTTATAATTTTCTTGAGTCACTCCATGTTAAGACAACTTTTTTTTATTTATAGGTGGTTGAATGAATTAGAGAAAAGAGCTCGACTCCGTCGAGTATGCATTCCGGGTGCTCTCATAGATCTCAAGCGCATCTGGGTCAATCTGTTGGAGCTCCTCGCGCTCTAGCCAAGTGTTATGTCTCCAATTTTCCTCTCCACCTTACTAAATACCTTCTTCGTTCACCCTCTCTCATGAAAATGATGTCATCGTTAAGATCATGTCAACTTTCTTCGCAATAGGTGATTTATGAATATTTGGAAGTGGATGAAGGCTTGGGTTCTCACAATGTGGGGTCACACAAGGCTCAATATGTTGTGAATTGAGTGGATTAAACTATGGACCATCATAGGATACTAAATCTTTGATGTTAAAAGAGAAATTAATATTGAATTTTGCATGTGAATTCATCACATAGGCATTTTCATTAATTTTCTTGATTATTTTAAATATTTTTGCACTTTTAGCATGTAATTTTTTAACAGTTCCATTGGACGGATTCAGACCATCACCGAATCACTAACCTTGAATGTCTTAAATTTTCTTTTAAGATCAGCATGAAGTTTATAATTTACATTGCTCTATTCAATACGACATATAATTTTTTTATGCAATTCATACAAATGCGATACAAATGATGATGCAGACTCAAAAATCCTATACTTAAGACACTTGGGGATGAGATCTAAAGGTTGTCTAGGTTTGTACCCATATACAATCTCAGCAGGACTAATACCAGTGGTGCGGTTCACAAAATTATTATAAGTAAATTCATCTGTGGGGAGTTTGGAATCCCAGTCTATAATGTGCTCACCTACTAGAGTCCTTGAAACGTTTTCTAAAATTTTATTGACCACTTCAATTTTTCCATTCGTCTAAGGATGAAAGGCTGTGGAAAGCTGTAGTTTGATGCCCATTTTCATCCATAGAGTCTTTCAAAAGTAACTCGTGAATTTAATATCCCTATCAGATATAATGGTCTAGGATAAACCATGTAATATAATGATCTCATTAAAATAGAACTTAGTAATAAGGGAGGCATAAGATGTTTTGGAGCAGGGTAGGTAATGTGCCATCTTGGAGAAGCGATCAACTATGAAACATATGACATCATTCCTACGAGAAGTCTTGGGCAGGCCAAGAATGAAGTCTATGTTGACATCTTGCCATGCACAGCTGGAACTGGTAAAAGGATGTATAGACTTGTGTTATGCTTTCATTATTTGGAAAGTTGACAAGTATGGTGTCTACTGACCATCTTACAAGCAAATTTCTTCAGGCTAGTGTTGACCTCATTTTTGTATGAGGTCACTTGGACTACTGTTGACCCTAAATCAATTTAATTTCCAAATTAATAATAGTCTTATCACGACTGAAGTGTCCTGCGAGGCCTTCGTCATGAAGTTCCCAAATGAGGGATTCCCTAAGGAAAGTACTTAGA